AATAATGAAGATCGAATAAGAAATGTAAACTAAATGTTTTTAAGGCCCTTAACAATTTGATTTCACATCGATCGACATTGTCTCACTTTAATTCAAAGAAAATGCGCCAAGAGCTCTTGTCGTCTGTCCTCCTGCCCCTCGTCTTGCTCGGCAGACTCCCCTTCATCAATTTCCAGATCTTCGTCATCCAAAAGATCAGCACCATCATCGTTAAATAGTATGCAAATGTTGTGTAGTATGGCTGCACACTGGATAAGTTTAGCAGCTCGTTCCATACTTCTGACTCTTAAGCCTGTTTGTAGAGTGTAGAATCTTTTTTTTATAACACCATTGGCTCTCTCTATGGTGCTTCTGGTTTTCTTGTGCGCCTCATTAAACCTGAGGCGAGCACCTTCTACATCTCCCCTGAAAGGAGGAATCAGCCAGCTGTTGCACGAGTAGGCAGAGTCGCCTAGAATTACTGCTCCAGGGAATGGCCTCTGAGCATTTTCTTCAAATGCAGTCCACAGAGTACTCTCTTTGAGGACCCGCGAGTCATGCCATCTCCCAGGACATCGGCTGCTACAGAAATATATTGAGTAATCTGGGCCGCAAACCATGGCCACATTGAGGGATTTCGTATGATGCCGATTCATGTATGCATCTTCATCACCAGCCGGGGGATTTACCAGAACATGGGTTCCATCCACGCAACCAGCAACACAAGGAAACCCAGCTATATCATGAAACTTTGAAGCGATTCGAAGGGGCTGCTTGGGCCAACAAACAAGTTCTCGCTGTAAACTTAGTATTGCCGGCGTAACGCGGTCTATGACATTCCAAACCGTTGATGTTGAAATTCCATGGCACGAATGCATCACATGGTAAAACGAGTTCGTACCAAGGAAGAGGAGAAATACTAATAATTGTTGTCTCGCCGTCAACGGTCTGTTGCGCCGTGTTCTGTGTTCCAATTGCGGACCCACTGCTGCCAGTAAATGTTCGAATGCATCGACTGGGAGACGAAACTTCTGTCGAAATTCGCATGGATTTTCTACGTCTAAAAGCCGTCTTTCCTCAAAATTCCTCGGCTGTCGTCTTATTCTATTTCTCAAAAGTTCATCTATTTCTTCTTCACTCGAAGATGACATGCTATCTCTTTAAATGAGGCCAACAACAATTTGCTCTCGAAGTTTACAAGTGACTTATGACTTGTAATTTGCTCTTGTATTTTACAAGTGGACCACAGGCCAAAAACAAGTTGGACTCCTGTAAAACGTTTTATTGAACTGACCTAATTTCACATTCTACACGTGTAGCTCTACACCTGTAACTACAAGTCGGACACTTGTAACTTTGGCTTGTAAAGACAGTTATTGAATTGGATTTTTTGCGCGCTTGTAAAAGCAACGGTCCAACGTGTAAAATACAAGTGTAAAAGTTTTATTGAATTGACCCCTGGTGTGCAACTTAGAAAGACATGTACAGAGCAAAAATATCAACAAGTCGCTTAACTTATTTTTACTGATAAACTTGATAAGTATATAGGACCTCAATAGTGTGGACTTTAAATAGTGCTATGTACCAAGCAAAGATAATTTGTTTGTTGTATCTTACTTTAGATAATCAGAGCCCAGGTTCCTTTAATTCGCTGATGTTTTTAGGACGAGATTTCATGACCTTCACATAATCGGAACAAACAAATAAATATGAGAACAACTACAACAACAAAACACAGTCTTCGGTGTCAAACGGTTTGTGTGCTGTTTATTGTGAAGAGAGCGTCCAAATTTCAATATAGGAAGACAGCATGAAGCTTAACAGTACATAAATGAAAAAAAGAGACTTATAATTCTTTTTTGTCTTTTTATGCTATAAAAAAGCATAAGCATTGTGTGTTATATGCCTTTTAGCACCCCAGACATCTAGTAAAGTTGCAGAATTTCTTACAGGTACAGGATTTTTCACTATTAATCATGCTTGAATCCATTATTATCGTTAGGTCAACAGCCTTAGCCAACCATTACTGCAGTCAAGTGGCAGTCTAACGAAACAAAGGAAAGCTTTAAAGATTTCAAGATGAACACTGAAAATTCTCTTATACTGGTAAGCTTGCAGATGAGCCTTTTTTGTAATGTGTGAACGCATTAGGTTCAAGTTTGAGATGATGGCGGATAGTGATTTTGAAAATTTTATTATGAAAATGACAATAAGAATTATGACAAGGAAAACATAGAGGGGATCAGGAAAAGCACTTGTTATAGAAATGGTGACAGCTGCTAATATGGTGGCCAAGATATCGATTTTCAGTTATCAATGAAGACAAGACAGCGAAGATAACATGAGCTGACTAACGAAAAAAAAAAGGGTTCTTAAGTTTTCACGGGTTTCTCATACTTCCTTGTTAACTTCATTTCAAGCAAACGAAAGAAAAGCTGTGATAAAGGATTCAACAACACATTTTATGATCTGAACAACTCCTATTTTCATTATGTGATATTTTTATAAAGAACCAATTTTTACTTTTAGAATGCCAAGGCCATTCCTAAAGTTGATCCTATGTAAAAAAAAAAAGCATTCAGAGGCTTCAGATGATAGCAAAGCTTCGCTTAGAAACCTATAGCGCGGCTGTATGAGCATTGAAAACTAAATAATTTAAATAATGAATCATATTAAACTGTTCACCTGAACAAACAGACGTCAACAATCCTAGCTTTAAAATATTCCACAACAGAATGGTGGCAAAAAAAAACTTGAATTGGTGTAAAAATGTAAATCACACTTTAGCTCTGATCATGCTCAATTGTGTTTTTAACGCAGGTGAATAACGGGCTCAATAACTTGGAGAAAACGGTGAACTCAACGAAGGACGAATTAGCTTCAAGGATTGCAAGTGCAGACCTTTGGGTGAGAGAAAGCGTTATCCTTTGCAATTTTTATAGATAAAAATAGATAAAAAATCTCATCACGCATATCTCAAAAGCGTGATGATGAATTTAATTCGATGAAAAGAAATACAAAACAAAAGATAGATGCAAAATTTCAATTGTGTTGTTAGCAAAAGCTGAATTATATCAAACAATAATGCTTTTTGAACAAGAAAACGTCACATTTATAGATGAAGGCTCGCCTATCTGAGCAGTTCTGTTCCACGCAGCCATTCCTCAAATGAAAATGAAGAGAAAAGTGCTTTACGAAGTACGCTCAACAGCATACCAGCATGACATCATTTAGATATTATTTTGTTTTATCTCCCTTTTTCAACCATTATACAGGATAAAAAAATAGTTGGTGTCACATGCTCAACAGACTTCGCCCAACTGTATATCTTGGAAGCTGAGATTGCTCCATCTACAAACAACCAAGTGTACCGCTGTGAGTGCTATGGAAATCAAGGAAGTGTTGGGACAATCAAAAGTATTCAATGCTTCATGCATTATTGGTTATGTCCAGTAACAACATAAAAGTGACGCGCCATCTATTACCTTAGGTGAAGAAGACAATGCATTGTACTTCAGGATGGGGTCGGGCGATACTTCCTTAATAAGCAAACAAAATGCAAAATGAAACTGATGTTCTTTTTCATTTATTGAAATTAAAGATGCAGTTGCGTTTTCACCTGGTGTTCTTCTCTCTTAGAAAGAGAAATGTTTTGTAAATATCATACAGTAAGAGCATTCAAACGAATTTACTTTCCCAGACTTGATTGTAGCTGTGAATTTTTTTAAAATCACTCTTGTTACAATATACCCAATTAGTCTCGCCACTCAGTCCGACAACCATCATAAATTGTGCTCTATATTTCTGTTGTTTGAAAACTTATGAAAACGTTGAGTACAAAATGATCTGTCGTATAGCTCAAGACTTGATTTCCAGTCATGAATAAACGCCTGTAAATGGTGATCCGGTCTCTCCATAATGATAAATTAAAAAGTGGTGGAGATGAAAAAATGGCAGAGAGGCGAATAATTTTCCTTAAAACATCAAAACCATACTCTCATTCCCAAAGTCTAAACATCGATTCTTCGCACTGTCCTACAAACTTTGTAATTATCTTACTATGTAATTAAAGAAACTTGGCGAACAATCTAACAATATCCACGACATTCAATTGTTGAATATTCTTCTTTTTGTTTATAGCATTTCAATAAAATATTTAAAAGGCTGTTTTCGAATTTTATTTTTGGTCACTCCTGGGAGTAACATGGGATGGGGTCGAAGGCTTTATTGGTCATGATGGTGACAACCACTCAGATCAGTATGAGTATAAGAGGTTTTGCACCTATTGTTTTTTAAGTTGAACCGATCCAGAAGTTGCTTGACTAAATATAATTCACATCGCAGTTTCTAGCTTTTACTTCTGTACTCGTCTGGCAGCTAAATAAAGAAATGAACTAGTATAATTGGGTATTAAGGCTTTTAGACTTTTCACTTTCCGTTAAATAGCTTCGAAATATTTTTGTGCGAGACGAAAAAATTTCCAGCGCTGGAATTCAGCTGTGTGTACCGGTCATCAATAGTCAGGAAAGCCAAATGTTCCAATGATTTCAACAGAGTAAAGACCGTACAAAAGCCGCTCTTTTGGTTAATTAAAGTTTGTAAGGCCTGTCGGAAAACAGCTACCTATTTCGACATTGGCTTACGATGAACTTTTTGCTGTCACGTTTTAAATCTTAAGCTTCCTTTCCTCATCTCTGCGTTTGACCTTAATGTGTTTGATAAGCAATTGCCGCCGTAAAAAAATTTTATGAGTGCATTAAGTTAACAAGTTAATCCACAAAATCTTATAAAAACGAGCCAAATCAATACTTTTGACGTACATTTATGGAGGCACACAGGTATTAGTGAGCTTAACTGGGATCAACACGAAATGGCATGCAAAGCATCACAAAGCAATTTTTTCTTATTAATGAGATTACACAAACAAGTAAAGTACACATGGGGTCATAGACAGCGTAACGTTTAAGATTAATGAAACGTTGTTTCGGGTGCATCTATCGACCTAAAATGCATGTTCAGCAAAAAAAGGAATAGTTCTTAAGGAAAACCACATCAGCCGACATTGTGACTGAAACTTGAAACAAAAACAGGTTTGCAATGGATGTTCATGAAGGACCGATGTTTGTTAACCCAACTTTCGACGATTGGATTTACGAAAACAGCATTCCACCATCGCCTTCGAATTTTTCGCGTCCATTGCCGTACCGCGCGGAAGTCACTGCTCCTACTGGAACGAGGAATTCTCGCCAGGCACAATATGAGAGTAAAGCACAAGGCAAGAGGAAACCTCCTGTGCGATCAAACCGGTCACAGTTGACCCTCTTGACTCTTGTGTGCTTGGTGTCTTTCGTAATATTTGTGATGATCCTTATGATATTCGTTGGAGGAGTATTGAAGGGTTGTAGCTGTCCTGTAAACCAAGGTTAGCACATTATTTTCTTGCCTAAAAGCCGTATGAGCTGCATGTCTCATTCCTGTGATTGTCGAAATTTCAGGTTTAAGTGTTTTCTGTATTTGAAGCATTCTTCATCTGGTTTGGAGTTAAGCTAAATAGCATTATAGAATTTTTTTTTAATCAAAAAAATGTATTTGCGTATAGTAATTAGAGACGGGCTACTAAAACATATGGTCTTGCTTGAACGTTCATTTGTACAGTCATTTTTTATTTTAATAATGATAGCTTGCATTTAAATTCATAAACCAGTCAGTTTTCGTGATCTGTCTTAAAGTCTTGCCAATGCATGCGTAGAAATTTTTGCCCGTAACTCTTCATACAGAAAATCGGTAAGATTCAGAGAACGTTCATTTAGACTTCAGTGGGGATGAATTCCTCATAAACAATTTCGAAAGCAGACATACACGGTAGCAGTCACATTATGCATTTTAAACTTCAGGGTCCAATTGTTCAAAGAGAGGATAACGCTATCCGATGGATAAATCGCTATCCAGTGGATAAGTGTTCACAAAACGTACGATGCTGTCTACAAGAAAGAGATTAATTCAGTGGATAGCGTTATCAACCCTTCAAAATACCGGGGCCAGTGCTTGAGTTTAGTCTATGCACAAGCAGAAACGATTTGCATCTTGTACCAAAAATTTGTGACCAATTTTTTTTAAGGTTTTATCTCTCTAGTCAAATGATGTAGTTTAAACTTTGATCCTACTACTCTAAGGTAGCGAGTGTCTATGCTCTAATTTAGGTAACTTAACTAAAATAGATGAAGGTATCTAGAAATAATTAAATGATTCGTGCAAATTATATCATCTTCTCACTTATTTATACCGTGACTACAAACTTTAATACACTGTCAAAAAGAGAAGCTGCGAGAATAGCAAAATATATTATTCATACAGATAACGTTAAATACATAGCACTTAGCAACAAAGAAATGGAAAGCATATATCAGATTGTCATGTATTAAGATCGTACAAAGTGGCATTCCGGTCTTGGGTGTGAAAGTTCGAACAATACTCATAGAGATCTGAAAGAACATTCTTAGTAAATGCTAATGGCAGCTTTAATTACTGACATAATCAAAAATATGAATTATTTACCTGATATACTGAGAAGTAAATTAATAAAGTCAGAAAGTTGAAAACTCAAGCCAATGTGAGCTGATAGGACCTAAATTCAGGCACCACCTCTTGGTCTGCCTTTACTGGATAAATCTGAACAGTGAGAACCAAGGAAAAATAATAATGAAGATAAAAAAAACTTGCATGACATTGACTGCAATCGTCTCTTTTTTTTAATGCAAATCTGGCTCACTCCGTTAATGATTTTAGCAAACATCACGGCGTAGTGGTTACAAGACCGATGGCGGCGTTTCCTTTGCGGTCGGATCAGTTGAAGAATGATACTTAAAGTCGAGTTTTCTCTTCAAAGAATCTAATTACCTGCGTTCTTAAGACTGAAATTAAAAAAAAATAGCTCTAAGTAATTAAGAACTGCTGCATTTTTAAAGCCTATGACTCGGTGCCGGACTTCAGTCGAATCGAAATGATCTGGCCCCGGTTGTTCGAAGATCGGATAACTCTATCCACTGGATAAATCTCTATCCGGTGGATAGTGCTATACGTTTTACTATCACTTATCTGTTGGATAGCGTTATCCACCCTTTATACAACTGGGCCCTGGAAATTAATGGCAAAGTTCGATGTGCGCTTGTTTTGTAAAAAGGACTGTTATCATATTCCAACCATAGCTAGTGTACCTGATATTATATACAGAATCCCCTGATCTGGTCAGAACTAATGTAAGTTGATTCTTGTTCACATGTGGATCAAAGATGAATGTTGTTACAAGAGGGTCTCAATGGCGTGACAGCTTTTACAGCTTATAGTTAAAGTTTTTGCCATTTTACTGCCAACAGTTAGTCCGAAATGGCCTTGAAGATAGGAAAAGTTATTGACCGTCAACATTTTTTTAAGACTAACAGTTAAAGTTTTTCCGGCAATTTTTACGACCAACGGCGAAGTTATTTTGCTGTTGTACGGCTAATTGCAACGGCTCACCCGAGTGAGAATCTCTTATAACTTCACTCAGTAAGTACGTACACTGTAAGGACTGCTAAATTAAAAATCTTTTTTAAAATGAAATCTTCCCCCTCCATTTGAACCCAAAGATATAATAAATATTTTACTAAGATCGCAGTCCTTTCTACATTTTCCGCTCGGATTTATAACCCTAGCGCCTGGGCCATAAATCCGAGCGCAAAAAATCGGTCTATGACCTACCAGACGAACCTCAAAATCGGTTAGTCACAAATGTTTATTCACGCTTCTCCAGACGATTCTTCTGGAACTCGCAGTTCGGCTTCTGCCTCACTTACTGAAATATTAGACAGAATCAAGGGGTTGGAGGAGAATGTCACAAGTCTTCAGATACGTTTGGTGAGTAAATGTGAAATGAGGAGGTAACTTTTGAGTGCATGGATTCCTCAGTCCGTAATCGAAAAAATACGTACGCGGAGTAAAGTGAATAGTAAGAAAGATATTGAAATATAAAATCTTGCGCTGCGAGTTTTTGATCGCATTGTCACGCAACTCTCTGCACCAGATATATATTCAAGTAAGCAGTCGCCGAAATTCATTCCAGGAGACAAATTTCTTTTCTTCTTTTTAGGAAAAGGCATATATACAGGTTCCGTACCCAAGATTGTTCTACCTCAGTATCAATATACTGAGAGATAGATTATACCATTTTTTCATTTCATTAAAAAAGTGGAAAAGAGGAGCCACAGTCATTCATTGTACCAGAATACACATAAGTAACTCAAACTCGTGCCTTTGAGCGCTCCATAGTTAGCGCTGAAATCGGTCGTTTTCAAGATTAATTTTCCAAAATAGTATTTTTTTTTCCATCTACAGGAAGAGAAAAACCAAGAGCTGATGGAAATTCGTCTATTACTGCCAAAACTTGAAGAAAACGTTGTAAGTATGTAGCTCAAGGTACTCCCGCCTTTTATATCATATATGTTTTAGTCGTTCTTTATCACATTGTTGTGTTTATTTACCTTTCTCAACCAGGATACTGACGACCCTTGCAAACGCGTTGCAGACAGATGAACTCAGACTTTGATTTCTTAGTTGCTACATGGTTCCACGATGTATTAAGATCCTTAAAGGATGGAAACGCGAGCAAAACCGTCAAAGAGCATATAATGCCGTAATTGAGAGTTTCCCAATTAAACAGCTACTTTTTAAGTTTGTAAATTGCTTACTCTAAGCACTTTAATTGTTAAATGAATACCAAGGGGTCTAAAATTTAACGAGGCAATAAATCAAACCTGTCGATGTCAGGACCAAAATGGCAGTATCTTTTACTTCAGTGCATGGCCCTTGTGGCCCAGCGAACATACGTGCTTCACAATGTTCTGTCGCATGATTTCATGAACAGTGCTATTCAGTTTTCCAAAGCAGGTTGAGTGAGCTTGAGTAATTTTTATAAAGAGATCGCAATGATCCTCTACTTCCCTCTATTTCAGACGAAAGGGGCACTACAAGACTTCTGTGTGGAGCTTAATTCAACAAGAAGTAACCTGCAAGATGCAGACGTCAAGTTGCAGAAATCTTTAGCTGCCGTTAATTCATCTCTTGTGGAAAAGGTCAGAAGACGGATTTACATTTCAGATTGAATGCTTCCTCCTTTCTTCATCTGCAAGGTCTCACTTATGAATATAAGTACATGATAACATTCTCATAATATCCTGTTATTCTTTAAGCAAT